AAATCCCGTTTTCGGTTCGCGTCTCTTTAATCCCGACCACGTGATCGAACTTCCTCCGGTTCCCCGTCTGCATCCGTCCGTCTGAGTCTCCATATATTTTAAGCGTGGCAATTCGTCTTGCTTTTTGTATTTCCGTCCTAGGCTGCTTGCTTTATGTCACGTTGTTTTCGTTGAACTTTCTTCGCCGGGAGGGAGCATGCTCGCTTTTTTGCTCAATGGGGCGCAGAAGGAGGAGGAGAGTCAGCATAGGCTTCGCATAGGGGTCGCGCCATGCCAACAAGATAACCTTCGTTCAGGAATTTCGTCGGTTGTTTATGCGACGAGGGTCGCGTTCCTAACCTCGCGAACTTCCTCAATCTTTGACGGAAGAAAATTATTGACTACCTACCTCGGTAATTAACGCATTACCTTATTACTGTAGATTGAACGGATAAACTATCGCTTTCTGACTTAATAACAACGCAACACTGAAACTAGCCTCGAGTTCGAGACCCATAGTATACGAATCTTCACATCAGCTATTCGTGTCAAGAAAATTTTAACACTGGGTTTACGGAACCCAGTTGAGAAATCAAAACGATGCTTCTTAGATTTGATAGAAATTAAGATACTTTTTCCAAAATGTTAACATCACTTAATACGGCTACACCTTATTTTTAATCTGAAACTAGTTTTTGTGAATATCCATGAATCCAGTATTAAATAGTGATTTTTGTTAGAAAAGACTGATTAATAGTGTTCATTTACACCTAACAGTTTACCTACCACCTTCAGGTGAAATAGCTCTAACGTGATACTTGGATTGAAAGATAAATTACGACCGCAGGATAGGAAAGAAATTATCAGACCGACCATGATATCAATGGGAAGAGCAAGAAGCATGTATCTCGATCGAAAACACCTGATTCCCCGAAGTGTTCGTCGAGGAGGTTTTCCAAGGCGATTCACCGGATTCCTCGCAATTAATCTGAACCTCTGTCAGCGACGTGGACCGGTCATATAATCCGAGAGGCTCTTACCTCGTGTATAACCGGAACGAGATAGAAGGGGGTAAGGGGAGGTCTGAACGGATAAAATTAATGGGATATCTAGGGTATCTAATCGAAGAGCGTTTCAAGGCCTGGCCTTAAGGTGGCCACGTAAAGCTTAGCTTAATTGGGCAGCGAGTGGTGGCCGCGCCTTATTAGCGAGTTACAACATCCGGCTAGCTGAGGCTGGTTCGTCTGAAAAGTCCTGCATGTATCCTGCGGCGGGTCTGAAAGACCAGTCGACCAGCGTCTTGAAGGCGAAGCGGAGTGAAGCGGAGCAACTAGCCTATAATAAGCCGTACGGTTGTGTACGTTCTGTTCTGTTCTGTTCCGTTCTGTTCCGTTCCGTTCCTTCATGCTGCGCCAGTGAAGGCAGACCCATAAATCTCTCGGCCATACTCCAGGGGACATTTGATCCTTGCGTAACCCAACGCCGTTAATTTATTGCCCCGCGTTTAAAGTCACCTCCATCCGCGAGAGCAACGGCTATACGCCAGGATCGCAGAGCCAAGCTTCGGCGTAAACCGAAGGTTTCTGGCCAGCTTTTCTTGTTATCGACCTGTTCGACACGCCCCGCGAGTGTCCATCCATCGATGGACAACGTCGACGAAAAACATGCATCTTGAAGCCTGGATATTGAAGTACACTGCAAATTTCAATAGACCTTACACACGAATAGAACAATATTAAATTTCCTCTAACTACATCAACCCTCCTCTGACTTATATCAGTAACTCATACGTGGACGTTTGTTCATATCACACATCTGGATGCTACAATTGTCTTAATATATTACAAATCCCTTTCAACTTTATCTATATAATTACTACCAATTTGAAGCTTAAACAAAACGTCCCTGAAGAGAATAGCGTGGATAAAATTTTGAGTCAATATCAAAAATACCACTTTGACGGTGTTTGAATGGAGATTGCAGATTTAGAACGGTCGATTGTCTTTTGGTCCTTGGAACGTAGCTGTTCCCCGGTTCTTCGTGGCGTTTGGCGGGAAAAAACATCTCGTACCCTCAGCACGTCGTGGCCGCGTTTCCCACGACGTGTTCGCACAATGAAAACGCCATTAAATTCTTTTTAGTGCTCGTGGTGCATAGCGGTGATTAATTTGCCAGAGATCGTGTAGGTAGATAATGCTTTCACACCGTCTCAAGGACTACCGTATACGACTAGGATTCAATCCGACATTGTTTCTTCGGTATCTAGGACATGGTGTCTCTGCTTTGGCAAAATTTATTCCTAGTACATTTACCATTCAAAAGATTAATTGTCCATGTTAATAATCCTTTTGATGTTGTTTGATAAGTAATTTATTTGACTAATTGATAACGTCAATCAGTAGCTGTATCTTTACGATTAACGGTCGATTTTCAATGACGTGTATGTACGTCGTACACAATGAACGATTTAATCTTTTACGATTGAATGGCTAGGCTTTTCTACTGGTATTTTTAATCGGTTGTTCGGTTGCACTCGTTTGACATGTTCGACCCCAGGGTAACAGGTGCAGAGCCGTCACCTCCTTGGAATGTATACTTATGTTTGAAAGTAATAGCTTGCTAAATAGAAATCATGCTTATAAACTTCTTATATTACCAACAAATAACGTATAACTTTGTTTTTCAAAATATGACAAATTTTCCAATTATTACAAACCTTTAACTATCTTTAAATCTGCATTAACCACGAAGGTATTAATAAACTGGAGAGCTGAACTCAGCGTTTGAAGTGATAACTATTAGGAATCTCTTTACCCGCCTCTTATTTATCATTTCTTTAGATACAAGCGTGACACGAATTATAATTAGGAGATAAGGTTGTTGCCGATAAATAGGCACCGACTAATCGTCTCGGGGTAGTTCGTGCGAGACTTCAAACCGTTTTATTATTCCTTGAACGCTTTGATGATCTTCTAGGTCAGGATGTACACTGTCTTCACGGGGTACCTTCATTAACTGGCTGACGAATGAACATTAATAAGCCGACTATCCTCGCGGAGGCATTTGCGCGAGACTCGTGAGTTTCTTTGATGAAATTCAAGATCTATGTTTATCCCGAGCATCCTTTGATCGACTGACTAGGACTCCAGTTTTCTGGCAAACGTCGTCGGGGTATTTTGGGCGGTAGCCTGTTGGTCAGTTTGGAATAATATTTCGTATAATCATGACGTATATATCACTTTAAGAATAGTTACCATCCTTATAGAGAAGATTTTCTGGAATTTTGGAATGTAAGTTACAGGAGATTGAATCGTAAACAGTTGTAATTGATTTTAATTATTGTTGATATTACGACAGTCTTCATGTCAAAGATACAATCTGTAATTGTCTAATGCATATAACGTGACCTTACAACGCATGATAATGGAACGATAATGCTGCTGTTGGTACAGCGCACGGTAATAGAACACGTGGTTAAATAACGTATAGTAATACAACGCGTTATAACAGCGTGTAATAATAAAACGCGCGATAATGCAGCGGGAAATACAACGCGTTGTAAAACAACGCACTGTATCTACAGGATCACATAAATTTCTGATGTCAAATTAAAAATTTTTAGTGGACTTGCTTCGCATCCTGAAATTATGTAAAGTAGGGGTAGAAAAAAAGCACGAGATCGAAATAGAAAATAATTGTTCAGCGGCAGGAAGAATGAGAGGGAAGCTAGAAATGGTTAAAAGTTATAAGAAAACGCTAGAGATTGGTATGTTGTTAATTTGAGAGCGTAGCCCGAGGGAGGGAACAAGAGGGCATGTTCCCAGAGTTTCTCTCCTTCCCTCTGCGCTCCGTCTTCGTTCGGCCGAGCGATGCGGAGCCCTCCAAGAATTCTCCTTCTCTCTCTGGAAGGAGAGTCGCCATCCGTCTTCATCGGCCGACAGCGCGACGGGCGGCGTTTGCCTCGAATGCTCACCAAGGAGTTTTCTTCTTCTTCTTCTTCTCCTCCTCTGTCTCCTCCTCTTTCCTTGCTCTTCCTTTTTTTCCCTCCCTCGTACCACTCTGAAATATTCTCGTTTTGCCCTCTTGCACTCGTGTGGCAACAGCTAACCTAACCCTTTGAGATTATGCCTGCTGAGAGAGAGAGAACGAAACACATACTCGCGCGTTTAGTCCAGCTGTGCTTCTCTCTATCCGTTCGTGTTTCTCCCTTTCTTCGTTGCTCCCTCGGCAAGTACAATTAATATTCTTGTTCGGGATTCGTGTACCGCCACACCGAGCGCAGATCATGTCACGGATATCTGTAAGGTATCTATCATACACGGAACTGCGCCTACGAACTGCCGGCCGAGCTTTTTTCTTCGCTGGACAGGCATTTTTGTTTCGAACGAAGCCCCGTAAAAACTTTACCGCGTGCCGATGCAGGTTGCACACGGCGTTCATTAAATATCTCGGATAGCAGGTTCAAGGAGGCCGAGCTAACGAAGCGCCTCGCGCTGCGTCGCTTCGCCGTGGCGCTCTCGTCGTCGCGGTATTCGCCGCGATCTCATCTTCAACCTCGCGAATTCACAATTCGAAGGAATTTCTCCTTTTGGAGGAACGTAAATACACTATTTAGCTGGTCTCACAATTTCGATAACGATAATAAATATACCATTTACTGTTTCCGTAAATAAATAAACGATTTCCTATGAGGGTGACAAGTTTATTCGTCAGATCTAACCACAGCTTAAACGTAGCAAACAATTTCAGAGACGTTTTAGAGGAGGATTCATGAATTTAACAGAGTACTAATTTATGAGATAAAGTAGATTTTGCTGAAGTAAGCGGTAGATCTAGAGGTCCATACATCACGTAGATACGAGTCAACTCGATTAAATTCGTATCGCGATCTGTCGCATATATTAACCTGAAAATTGTACGACACGAAAGCTTAAGTTCGATGGAAGTTGGTGTGGAGAATCGGTAGAAAAAAGGCAAAATGGCAAGGCGAAACTAACGAGCACCGTTCTTCCGTGTTTCAGAGAGGAAACGAGGTCGACAAACGTACACCCGATACCAGACCCTGGAGCTGGAGAAGGAGTTCCATTTCAACCGGTATCTAACCAGGCGGCGACGCATCGAGATCGCGCACGCGCTCTGTTTGACGGAGCGACAAATAAAAATCTGGTTCCAAAACAGACGGATGAAATGGAAGAAGGAGAACAAGACGAAGGGCGAGCCAGGCTCGGGCGACGGGGACACCGAGATCTCGCCTCAAACGTCGCCACAGGGTTGAGAGTATCCCGAGGAGTGGAACTTCCAAAGAGGTCTCATCTCTCTCAGGGTCGTTAATACCTTGTTTCCAGCACTACCTCCTCCCTCGATACACACCCCCTCACGCCATGCCACCCCTGCAATATCCGAAAACGAGTCCCCCCACCCAACCACCCCTGCCCCACATACAGCAATGACGCTTATTTTGTCGTGTTAATCAAGTTGCTCGTACCAAAAAGATAAAAGAGAAACAAAAGAAAGGAGAAGACAAAGGATAACGCGTGGAGACGAAATTTATTCAACAACATGATGGAAGTGAAGACGTGAACGGAACGGGACACACGGGAACGAGTCGGACGAAGATTTATGGAGATCCAGAATCTTCGAACGAAACCGAACGGAGAGGAATCGGACAGGATCGGATCGAAAGGAAACTGGATCACATGCTAATCAGAACCGCGTTAACCTCTATTACATTTAATCGAATGTAATTGTACTAAAGCCTATAATGATAGGGATAACGGAGAGAAAGAGAGACGGAGCGAAAGGGAATGAGAGCGATAGAGAGCGAGAGAAAGAGTGAGTAAGAGAGAAATATATACGTACTTTAAAATGGCGGAACGTCCCGCGGAAATTGCAGCGCGAATGTTTGAAATTTAACTGTAAAGTAGAGGATGAATGTGACCCCGTGAAAGCTTGTAAAGTGATATATATATATACATATAAATATATAAATATATAAATATTATATACATATATATATGTATGAAGAAGAGCAGCGAGAAAATGAACGAGAGAGAAGGATGAACGTACGCGAGTGTCAGAATATATATTTACCGCGTGGAAAAGAAGAAATATACCTTTAGGAAAGCGTTTTATTATTTATTCTCTTACGTCGTACACGCGTGTAGAGTCGTAGAGCGGTTAGTTTAAAATAGCGGGCGAAGGACGGTCGTCCGTCGTGTCTCTGTTTAGCTAGAGTAGTCGAGAAACGGTTTAGCGTTCATTAGAGAGGATCGATCGTTTAGATAGTTTCCTTTTCCGTTTTTTATTTCGCGGTGGCTCAGCCAGAGGGTTGCTTAGAACGTGCCAAGTGTGATTCTTCGCTGGCGGAAGAGAAAGAAGTGACATCGGCTGCCCGTGCACACTCACGCCTGTTCGATCGGTGATAAACAGCGGAGGAAAAAAAAGGACGAGAAAAATCGATCACGTCGTGGAACCAGTGAAATCTCAGTGTGTGCTATGCAATTCGTTAAATTCCAGTGATTTGTTTGGTGATCGATCGGATCCAACAGTTTCGGCCAATCGGGGAAAAGTTGTGAACGAAACTCTAATCTTGTCCGTTAGTGTGCTCTGAACGAAAGGAAATGGACGCACAGTGTTTCAGGAGCGGGGAGGCCTTCGGCGGAGCAGGAGTCGAGACTCCACGTTTCTTCATCACAGTGTCATCGCAAGGTCAGTCATGCTAAAACAAACAAACAAATTCTCGTATTTAAACTTTTGTGGGAATTTCTTTTTTTTTTGTTATTCTTTTTTATTCTTCTCGATTACACTGTCCGAAGAGACGTGTCGGAAAAGACCCTCTATAATTCGATCTCGTCGAGTGTACAGCTACGAAATTACGGGTATATTGCATCGCTGTATAATTACGCTCGCGAGTACTCTCGAAAGTAAATCAAAATGGCGACCGCTCGAAACAGAAGGGTTTCAACGAGATTACTCGTTCCAGGTTGAGATGAACTTTTTCTATACTCGTTTTGTTCGGAGCAAAATTTCGTATCTTTCGATGTTCGTTGCAAACACCTTCTTTCTCGAGACGAGTCGCGTTAAGAAACCGCATTTCGAAAGACAGCCCCCGAGAAATCGTGTTCGCTACGTTTTTCTGTTTCTTTGTAAATGTTCGAAGCAATGACGAAACAAGAGGGCAAAGGAAGGGGCGAACCCGGTTAGAGAGATCCTCGATACGAACGACCAAAACTCGAGGAATCTTGCGAGTGGTCATTGAAAATTTACTGCTGCTCCGCACGACACGAGGCCAAGTTACCAAGTGATGTAATTCGTAGCGTATTTTTGGAATAGGATGCTTTCGGCATGAAACCGCTTGGCACCTTAACGCTTACTCTACCAAAATATCAAACATTTTATTTTACCATTTATGGTACATAAATTTTCTTTTTCATTCTTGGGGAGACAACGTGATAAATTATATTCTTATTAAATGAATTTTATTTAATTTCACAACGTGTTGAATACCATGGGGATCATGGTGATCGATACCTGACTTCAAGTGACACTCGCGAGAGTTACCGATGAGACAGTAGAATTATATCGTAACGATTCATCGAATACCATAACGTAAATACATTCATTGAAACATTCGTAATTAACCTTTTTTTATGAAGGACATTTCCGTCCATGAGCCATCGAGTACTTTAGCACTAAGGGTGATTGCAGGTAAAACCGCGCTTTGTACATATAGTTTTTGGATTTTTTACAAACATAAGGTTGTAGGAGTAACATTTATTTTTACCGAATGACGCAAAAATGAAGATCGGAAATAGTTCATTTTGAAACAATATCAACACGTATCACTAGTCAATTTGTGATTCCCCATTTATATTCCCTGCAGACTTAACCTTTTCGCTACTAAAACTTGCAAATTAGAAAAATGACACGATGGGAATTTATCGAAAAGAAAATTTGACGAAATACTCGCGTTTAAAATTTGATAAAGATGGGGAAGATGGTAGCTAAAGGGTTAAAAAGAAGTAGATGAAATAGCGTGAAGCATTTAGGGTGCCAAGCGGTGAGCAAACGCGCACCATCTGTCGGCCTGATCAGTGAAGCTCGCGATCCCGATGACGGATCGACGACGCCGCGCGTCGATCGTCACGCGGTCGCC